ATTTTTATTTATTTATACAAGCAGTGGGTACAGTCAGAAGCATGGGAGGGTGAGAGAATTCACCAGAGCCAGAGCGGGGAGCAGAGCAGGCAGAAGAACCGAAGTACACTGCTGAGGGGAGCAGCGGGCGGCAGGAGAGGTCTGCACACCATGTGGGACCCTCCTCTGGTGGCCGGGGAGCAGCCGGGGATCGAACCTGCGCTGCAGAGGCTGCGTGCAGCTTCGCAACCCAGCGCTCAACCGCTGCGCCACCGGGTTGGCCCAGTTACTGTATTTTTTTAACTCCAGAATTTTTGTTGCCTTTTTATAGTTTCTGTCTCACTCTTGATTTTCTCATTTTGTTCATATATTGTTTTCCTGATTTCCTTTAGGTCTCTTATGTTTTCCTTTAGGTTATTGAGCATAGTCAAACCAGTTGGCTTAGTAACTGTGTTTTTTGATTTTTTTTTTAAGATTTATTTATGGATTTAAGAGCTAGGGTGTAGGTCAGAGGTGTGGGAAGATGAGAGGATTTACCAGAGACAGAGTCAGGAGCAGAACAGGCAGATTGCCGGAAATACACTGCTGAGGGGACCAGTGAGCGAAAGAGGAGAGGTCTGCTGCGCTATAGTGGCTGTAGATAGCTTCATAGTGCTGAGACTTAATTAGCCTTTTGCACCACCAGGGAGGCCCCATTGTAACTGTGTTTTATCAAAGTCTTTTTTTTTTTTTTAAGGGTTACTAGAGATTGATTATGATCCTTTGAGTAGGCTATATTTCTTTATTTGTGGGCCTTTTACTCTTCTGTTGACAATTAAACTTTCGCTAAAACAACCACACCTTCCAGTATTTGCAGAACTGACTTTTGCAAGGGAAGAGTATTAGTCATCAGCCCAACATGAAGGCTTAAGGTCTTTTCAAGGTATTTTCTGTATATATATTTTCATATATTATTTATAATATAGATATTTCATATATATATTCTGTATATATTATATATATGTATATATGTGTATATATATTCCTTGGGTCTGTATGTGATTTCCACCCCAATCTGCTGCATGCCTGCTTGTAAGTGTGGTAATTTCCTGAGTCTTACTCATGCTTTTTCTTGACCTTAAATATTCTATTTTATTTCTCTTCCTGTAATCACATCCCCCAGGTGCCTTTGGGTCTGAAGTCTCCCTTCAGTTCTCATAACTTAGCAGGTGCCACTACTTTTAGCAGCTTCCACCTTGATATCCCAACTATGCCACTGTTTCCATCTGTACTGAGTCAGAGAGATGGAAACTAGTCCTTTCTAGTCCCTTAGGGAAGCCAGCAGACAGGCAGAATGTTGTAAGTAGTAGTGGTGGTAGTAGTAGTTCACCCCTTTTCTTCCATCCTGAGGGAGACACTTGAAATTCAGTGCCTTCCTTCAGACACTGCCATGCCAGAGAGGGGTTGGGGCTAAGTATGTGGGCAACTTAATTTTTCACTCAGGTGTGTGTGTGTGTACATGCACATGTGCATAGTATTGAAATTTGTCTTTATGGTAGTACTTATTAAAGGCAAAGAAAGAGTTTTAAACAAAAGAAGTAACTTTTAATCGCTGAGTTGTATGTGAAGTGCTTAGAAAAATACTTGAAGCATCAGGAACTGTTTATGTTTTCTGTTATAAATATTTTTTTGTTAGTTTAAGTCCTTTGTACTATATTGTGGAAATTGAAAATCTGTGTTAATTTTTTTGCATATCGATATTTTGAAAACCATCACATTTGGACCTCAGAAGCTCTGTTCGTGTGATCTATCTTGTGATGGAATTCATTCTCAGATTTTTATCTTTGATTGATTGTTACATATAGCACAAAGGCTATTTTGATTGGCTTGTCTGAACTGGTGTCCATTAAGTTTGTGAGTTCCTACCATTTCCTTTTAATATTTATTGTTACTATGCTGTTCTGTTCTTCCCAGTTAATAAAATGAATAAGTGGCTCAAGAGGGTTCATTGAAACATGATGATAATTAGATGAAAATAAGAATATAAGTCTATAATTCTTGTAAAACTAGATTATTTATTGGATTTCAGTTTAAATATAAAACAATCATTCATATGTCATTAGGGAAGTTAATCTTTGTGATGACTTGAAGGTATTTGAAAAATGTAAATAAAATGTGTGATTATTATTGAAATGATGCTCCTTTGATCTATCCCTAGTTCTTCATGTAGTTGATGCTATGACACATGTTCAAGAATATTCCCATTCAAGCTTTTGCATTTTTCCAACAAATCACAATAATGTTTTAAGCATAGGATAACTTAATCAGTAGATCTTTATTAATCATATTGCTACCTGCAGAGAAGAAAATATAGAGGCATCTTTCATAGTTGCTCTCCTTGCCGCCACCACAGGTACCAGTTAAGTCATTCCTAAGAAATTTCTGAAAGCCAGAAAGAATGGAAAAATGCCCTGAGTGAAAGCTGAGTAACCTATTGGGAAAGTTCCTCGATCAGAGCCCTTATTAAAATCTGCAGTTACTCATAGCACACACACTGAGAGAGGAGCCACGTCATGCGTGACTGTCATTAGGTTTCATGTTTTGCAGTTAGATGAAACTGGTTGTGCATAAACTATGAATCAGCTGTTGGCATCTATATAGTTAAATATAAGAAGAATACTTAATTTTTGTCCCCAAGTTCAAGGAAAATAGATTCTTTGTTTTATGGATAATCATTCATTGAGAGCAGTGATACAGTCTGTGAAGACCACATTGGTATTGGCATTGATAGGGTACCAGCTTTAGATGTGGCCAGGAAAGGAGTTACTATAATGAACAATCTTGGCTCTCAATGCTAATTCCCGTACTGCCTTTTCATTTCGTTGTGTTTAATCTTATTTAACTCCATTGTTGAAGATGTTACTGAAAATTGTGAATAAGGTCAAATAAGTATCATGCGTGTTTTTAGCATGTTCTATGAAAATAATGTTTGCTACTTTTCCTTTTTGTATTACACTAGCTAGGAGAGGACAAAATTCTTGCCTAGCTTTGTGAAGTGTAAAAAGAGATAACATTTCTCTATGTTTTTATAAGTGGCACTTCTCAGTGTTTGAGTATCTTGACAGCCAGAGGCTTGCTTCTGCGCCAACATAATGACAACTAAATATTAATACTAAAGTAATCAAGATTTCCTAAAGAGCTTCATCACCAAGGACATTTGACTTCCTTGAAGAATGAAATTGATGTTGTAATTGTGCAGCTGTGCAAATGCTGTAATAGAACTTGATCAAAGACTTTTCAAAATTTAATGCAGCCAGACTAATAGGGAATAATACATCTAAAAATCCAACCATCCGGAGTTTGAGTGTGATGCATATACATAAACTGTGTCTGAAATAGTGACAGTAACCCTTGATGAGAAACTTCTGTAAGATTTTTGGGGTCACATTTGACCCAGTTATAACCTGAATTATACATGTGAGATACTTGCCCTGTATTTCAATTTACTGCCTGATTTAGTAGAACTAGTGGGAAAAAGAAATCAACTTGATATAGAACCTTAGTGTGAGTTATAAAAATGGCTAATATAGATTATCATGTTTCAAGATTGCAAAATATCCTCTGTATAATATAAAACCATTATTTCCTTTCATTAATTTTGTTTTCGTTATTTGAAAGTTATGAACAGTTTTTTCAGACATTTGCTATAAATTTGTAATCCACTGCTGAACCCTCACTAGATCATCAACAGATGCCAAAACTTGTAGAAACATTTTTTCAAAGGAAAGTTAAAATATTTTTTAGACATATCATTTGCTTGGTTGCTTTAGGTAAGATACCTAAGTTTCCGGATTCTTGTTTTCTTTGTTTTAAAATTGATAACAATATGGTAACTAAAGACGATTGCATAGTACTTGACTTTATCACATTTAACCTTAGCAGCTGCCATGTAAGGTAGGTATGTTGTTTGTTCTTACATTTATGGGAAAGATAGATTACTTGCCTAACTTTACAGTAGAAAGTAATAGTTGTTAAGATTTGAATCCATGTCATAAGATTCTGTGTCAATTGCTCTTGTTAGTATTTCAGTTTAAATGTTTCCAGTATTTCTGTTTTCTGAAATCGCTAATATATCTATTAGTCTTTTACATGGATAAATAGTGAAAAGATCACACTCTTTATTTTCAGAAAACTTAGGGTAAGTTAATATATATTATATAATATCACCATTTTTCAAGATTGTATCCAAATTCTTACTGAGTGTAGATTTTTTTAAAAAATTTTTTAAAAAAGATTTATTTATTTATATAAGCACTGGGTACAGTCAGAAGTGAGGGAGGGTGAGAGAATTTACCAGAGCCAGAGCGGGGAGCAGAACAGGCAGAGTGACGAAATACATTGCTGAGGGGAGCAGCGGGCGAGACAGGAGAGGTCTGTCTTGCACCATGTGGGACCCTCGCCAGTGCCCGGGGATCGAACTGGCGCTGCAGAGGCTGCAGGCAGCTTCGCAGCCCAGTGCTCAACTGCTGCGCCACCAGGGGATGCCCTGAGTGTGATTTTTATGGGGTTCCTGTAAAAGAGTTATGGTATAAGCAGAAAGAAAGAACAGTAACAATATGTCAGGTAAATGAATGAACTGCTTGGTGTGGCTCTGGGATTTCTTTGTCAACAGCTCCCTTTACTTTTAAGTGCTTTTGAAAACTTACTGTGGCAATAATAAGTTCCCTCAACTGTGTTTGATTTTATTTGTGGCTTTGGCTGTCTGTTTCAGAAACAGATGAATTTGCAGTGAGGGCTCCTTGCACTCCTGATATTAAATAATTGCACATAGATATTGGATTGCAGATGTCTCCTTATTAGGAGATTTAAGGTAACCTCTAAAAAATGTTGCACTAATTTTGAATTGCTGGATATTCTGATAAAGATAAGTTTTAAAAAGCAGAAATACAAGTTACACTTATAGACTTTTTTAGCATTATATATTTGAATTATCATGCCAAATTTGTTCAAAAAATTTTATTGTTTTTGCAATTCTTTGGCAGACCCCTTATCCCTCTGGACAGAATGCAGGTCCAACCACATTGGTATACCCTCAAGCCCCTCAGACAATGAATTCACAACCTCAGACCCGTTCTCCGGTAAGTAAGCAGACGCTTGTCTTAGATAATATTCTTCACTTAAGTATGTGTGTCTGGTAGCTTAGATTCCTTTGATTAGTATTTTCACTTAATATTGGAAATTTGTTTCAAAGATGATTTATTATTAATTATTATTATTTATTATTTCTAATATTATTGGTTAGCATTGCACTTTCAGACCTTCCCTATAGGAATAATTTAAATTTATTAAGAAAAAGAAGAAGCGGAGACTTTTATCTTCTTTGCTTTTCTATGACATGATGAAAAATTTTTAAACATTCCGGTTGTATTCAGATTCACTTCATTTTATCTTTTAATCTGTTAGTTGTACTGTTCAAAATTCAGGAGATTAAAGCACAATATTTTAAAATTAAATTTCATTAATTAGATTCTTGAATTCCGGTGGTTTGGGAAGATTTCTGAATCTGTGTCACTAGATCAACTCTTACCATTTGATAGTGTGGCTGTATGCATGACATGCACCAAATGGTGTATTCATTTTTTCAGATGCTAAATGAATTGTAAAGCAAATGTAAATGCTGTTATTCTCTTTGTTCATCCTTTACATGGATTGCAATAAGTACTGCAAAAATTGAGAACTTACTCAAGGTTCATCCTTCTGTTTCACAAAAGTGTGCAGTGGCTTTAGCTGTCCATCCTTAGTACGTCGCTTCCTGCCTTGCATGATTAGCTTTGGCTAGAAGGTGCTTCTGTAACATCTCACATCCTTACTTGTAGCTCAGTTCTGTGTTTTCCGCAGAAAACAGGGATCTTCTTTTTGTTTCCCACCTCTGCTTTTTTTGCCTGTAGTTCAGGAATATTTCATTGCATTAGTTCCTATTCATTTGTTTTTATGCATGAATTTACAAATGTATGAAAGAATTGCTCAAAGAACTAGGAAAGCATAGATTGCACCGAAATGTAATCTCTTTCTTACCCTCTTCCTGTCTTCCTTTTCCCTGTTGCCCTCTTCTCCAATACCTGTTCCTAGATCCTGGTTCTCCCCAGGGGGTGGAGGAACCATTCTAAAGAGGTGGGACTTTGGTCCTAGTTGCCTGTTTGCTTGTCTCTTTTTTTGCTGAAATGGTCAACAAGATGTCTGATGCAAGTTTTGTTCTGAGAGTGGTTTGGGGATGTGGACACTTGACTACTTGGAGTGGGCCTGAGATCTCACCTGGTTAATTTAGATAGGTCCCAGTTCTAATCATTAAACATGGAATATTATGGTAAGCTCTTATTGCAAACAATTCTTTGGCCCTTTCCCCCACCCTTTATAATGATTAAAAAAGAAAAAAAATTAAATTTACATGGTTAGAACTGGCGCAAAACCTGACTGAAGAGCTGCATCTCTAAACCAGTTTTTTTGACAGCCCAGCAGAACAGTGCCAATACATTGCACAGACAACTGGAAGAGGAGGAAGGTTTTGGAACAGACTCCCGTTTACAGGTCCTTGGCTGGAAGAGGCTGGATAAAATACTGCATTGTAAGCAATATAACAAACTGTACTTCTTGCAGGCAGTGGTGCCTCTGGCACTCATTATTTTTGACCACATCCATTTTTTGGCTGATGAACAGAAAGGCGTTGATTGCCTCCTCTCTAGAAGTCTAACCTCGCATGGCAGTTTCTGCCAGGCATAGCGGGGAAAAGAATAACAAATTGGGTGGGTCTTCTCTATTGGGAAATAGACAGGAATAATTTGGGGTTTAGACTCTTCTTTATTTTAAACTTGAAGTGGGATATCCCTTTCAGATAAATTTGATTTAAAAAAGAATACATTTCAAGGCTACTTTTCCCCCCTTTCCATTTTATAATTGATTATCAAGGGGGAAATTGTAGTTGTCAGCCATTTTTCTGTGGTCATAAACTCTTCAGATACTATCTTCCATGCAATTTTTGCCATCCGCTCTGCTAGTGACCATTGCCACCCCCATTACTAAAACACGTACATATAACATTCCATTACATACCCCAAAACAAGTGCAAGACTAGAAGACCTCACACTATTCTTGCTTGTTGTTTTGGGCCTGATTTTCTTTATTTCATTTGTGCTGGTGCTGGGAGGGAGAAGTTGGGATATGAAATTTGGCAGGATTGCATTTTCTTTTACATCCCAAGTTACCATAGTCTAGTCTCATCCATCCCACAGCTATCTCAACTGGTGAGGAGAGGTAAGCTGTTGCAACGAGGAAGGGACCCTTTCCAGGCTTCATAGAGCAGCTAAAGCTTACTCCATTCTATTTCTGCATTAATGGGCCATTGGCAATTGCACAGTTTAGGCTTTTCTGTTCTTCCCTGGACAGCTGCCTTTGCAATCCAACTGGCTTCAAGTGACTCCCCTCCCTCCTTCAGGTTATCTCTCTGGCCATATTTAAATCTATTTTAAACTTACATTATTGAAATTTCTGCTTATAAAACAAAAATACTGATAAGCTACCTATCTGTTCCATTGTCTAGTTACATACAGTCTTCAAAATAGTAAAGCTGTTGAATGTTTAATTGAGAGAGGGGGACAGTTTGATTTTTGCTATAACCTGTAACCATTGGTTATTTTTATATTTTGTGGTGTCAAGTGCCAAAGATGCATCAATGTTATGTTGACCATGCCCAGTTACCAATTGTGCACAGAAGAGAGAGTGAAAGAGTGGGTGGGTGGCATTAACTTTGGATCCAAGTTCATAGAAGGCTGCTTCCCTTTTATACCTATAGTCCTCACCATCTTAAAGACTCCTCAAAAAAAAAAAAAGAAAGAAAGAAAAAGAAAGGAAACAAAAGTTTCTATTTTTAATATGAGCCAGCAGCGACTACAGTTTGTTCTGTTGCTTACAGTTACCCAGTAGAATTAAGACTATTGTCATTCCAAATGAAAAACTCAATAGCCAATGGTGACTAGTGCAAAATAGACTAGGGTATTTTCTCACTAACTTAAGTTGTAATGTTATTTTTTAATACATGTTTAATTTTATAAGGTATTCTTGCTCATAGAAAGTTTTTTTAACTGGAGCATTCCAAATATATAAAATTTCAGTTTTTATTTTAGAGCCTTAGAAATGGGACCTTTCTGTGGAACAGTGATAAGACAGGTACTACTGCACTCAGGTTAATTATTTTAATGTGGCCCTTCTCTCCCATTTTCTTCAAAAGTGTCATGAAGAAACATCTCACTTCCACCCCCTCCTTTCATACCACATGGGTGGTATTGCCTATTCTTGAAACTTGATGTCCATAGTAGAGGTATGATTTGTTTACTTTTCATAATTGGAAAACTGAAAATATAAGACCTCAGTTTCTTTGCAGAGAAAACTTTCTACAAGAACTATAGTTGCCATTATCATATTCTAAAAAACTATTTCACAGTGGTTAGCAAAATACAATGGCTGACCTCACATGCCCTAGCCAAACAAATTGTCTAGTGCTCGTTAAGTCACGCGAAATAACTTCAGTGTGTTAAGACACTTCATTATTGGAAGAGTAGATGACATTTTAGTTTCTAAGGTGAATTCTTGATAGAGCTTTGTTCAGCTCTCTCCTACATTGTGGTCCACTGCAATTTGTTGACAATTTTTTATATGATATAATAGCATTTGGGAAAATAATTTCAAATCTGTTGAAAATACTTTTGCACGCCACTTTAATTCTAAGTACCAGGATTTGTTTCTTATTCTTATTCTTTATCTCTAGTGATTTGCTGACAAAGAAAAGCTCTGTAGGAAATAAATCTATTGAATATTATATATATATGTGTGTGTATATATATATATATATATATCTCCTTAAATGTATTAAGAAAATTCTGTATGGTTTGCATTCAAAAACATTTTCTGATTAGTTTCTTTTCAGTATTAAAGAGGATGGTTAACATTACAATAGTTAGTGTATTAGTACATGATACTATGTGCCCAAATATTTTTCTCAGTCCTTTTTTAGCAAACTCACATTGGAAGCCAAATTTTGCTCTCATGAAAGATTATTTGATCTTAGAGGTTTAGTATTTAAAATTTTACGGGTGAAAAAGCTTTTTCTTCCATTCTCAGGGAAAATAAATTGGAATATTTAATATTTTCTTTCAAGTACTCTGACTTTGCTAAGGAGTTGTTTCCTTTTGCTTTTCTTCTCAGTATCACATAACAATAGGTACATATGTACAGTGTGTATAAATAGTAATTCAGGGATTTGACTTTCACTCTTTTTTTCTTCTTGAGCTTGATCTGATTGAGCTTTGATTAGTCATGTAAAAAGTGGTTTTCAAATTTACTTCATTTACGAAGTTTGCTTTGACATGCTTTGTATTAAACTTTGCTAGTTAACTACATTTTAAACATACATATACGTACATACATATATTCATAAATATATAATTATATTTGTAAATAATTATAGTCTTTAAATCCAATAAATAAAGGAAGATGTTGAAACTAACTTTCATGTGTGAGATATCCCATTTAACTAAGGAAGTTTAAAATCAGTTCTCTTATATCCCTTATTTCCTCTTGGATATTATAATTACCTCCTGGCTATTTCTTGTGATGTAAAAGCATTTCTCATTCCCTCCAGCTTTATCAGTTGCATAAACATACTTGACTTCTTACAATTGTCTTAATATAACCACTTAGTGTTTCAGACTTACTTTTGCTTTATTTTAGGTTTTGCTTTTTTAAAAAAATTCTTATCAGAGAAAAGCACCTTATGTGCCTAACAGCTTAGCTGTTTCTCTCCCAGCTGATGAATGCAAACTGTTCCTGGTAGTGGTGTTAACCTGTTGAATCTTAGTACCTGTCTGTCACTGTCCTGCAGCAAAGCTACGACTGTTTGTGTTTTGTTTTATTTTTTCTTGTGGGTTTTTTTTTCCCCCCCTTTTGACATATTGTGTGACATTTTGGTTTTTGTTGTGGTGTTTCTGACTCTTTGTGCCTTTCCTTTTGTGTTTGTTTTCCCTCCTTTTCTCAGTTTGCAGCGGGGCCTCGACCTGCCCATCATCAGGTACTGTACCCTTGCCCCTTCACTATCATCCTTAACTAATAGGTGGGGCCTTTAGTGGCTGTTGACTCTTAGAATGCTGCCATCCCCTTGAAGTGCTCAGACTACTCTCTTCAAGAGTAACTTCAGTCAGATAAAATTCAGTTTTTTGTCCTTCACTGATTTGACTGCATTTTTCTTATTAATAAGGCCATTTGCTTCTGGTTATGGCACAGTTTAAAAATAATACAGCTTTTCTCCTTTCCAAAAAATAATTGCTTTGAATTTAGAGAACCTTAAAAAAATTCTAGATGTATTAAGCCCTCACAGATTTTATGGATTTCTGTGTTAAGTTTAAATTTCACCGAATGGAGCAGGCAACATTCTAAGGGTTTTTTGTTAACACTCTGATGTAACTTGTATTGATGTGTATAAAATAACGTTAGTTTTAACGTTAATCTCAGTTACTAATTTAGCCTTACAAAAAAATTTATTATCAATAGTGTACATTCATTTGCTTCTTAGAATTATCTTTATTCATAGGATATGCAGAAAAATGGATACCTTATTTAATTTTAATACTTTTAGCCTATTAGGTTTTTGAAATGAAGTAATTACATAAATTAAAGATTTTTCAATGTTTATGCCAACACAGTTTATTTGCAGGGATATACATACTAGGGGGACTGGTTTGGGTGAAAGAAAAAGAGTTGCAGGCTTCCCCCCCCCCAAATAACTTCTTATGAAATGTTTTGAAACATTTTACCTTGCCAAAGAAGAAAGAGCATAGATTTTAGAATCTGACAGATCTAGGTTTGTATCTCCGGCTCTTCTGTGTAACTGAGTTGAATTTAGTTGATCTTCATTTCTTTATGTGTGAAATGGGGATAAATATATATATATATATATATATATATATATTTTTTTTTTTTTTTTTTTTTTTTTTTTTTTTGGTGGGACCCTCGCTGGCGGCCAGGGAACGAACCAGTGCTGCAGAGGCTGCGGGCAGCCTCGCAGCCCAGCGCTCAACCTCTACGCCACCAGGGGAGGCCCAGGGGATAAATATTTTTTACACTAGAAATAATATATGTAAGTTATCTGATGCAAAGGAAGCAATGAGTAAGTGGTAGCTGTTTTTAATGTTGTTATGCAGCATAGGGTTGATAAAAATGGAAAAAAAAAATGGTACCAGTTTTTACCTGTGGTATCATATTTAGAATTTTTCTTACAGAGTAATTGGATAGTGTTAATTCAAAGCTTTCCTTGTCCAAGAGTGACTGAATACAAGCTCTGTTTCTCAAAATAAAGTCTTTTGAGCAATCAAGCAAACTTTTGTGTGAGACTTCAGAGATTATTATATGAAGTGGATGGCGTTTGGATTTGATGAAGAAATCCAGCTCATGTATATTTTTAGTCTTAGGAGAGAGAGTAAAGTACTTTCAGATCTTGGACTTTAACATCAACTAGGCTTTTTCTTTTGAACAGTGTTTGTGGGTCAGCTGTTTACTACTTTCAGCCTCTGTTTTCTTATTTGTAAAATGGCAACAGTATTAATGTCCATCTCAGGACTGATGTGAAGTATAAATGAGATAAATAAAATGCCTACACATTTTGGAATTAAGGAAAATGTATATACCAATGCAAATTCCTGATTGGCAGATACTAAGAATCTAGGATGCAAGATTTCTACTATTAATTAAAAAAAATCCCTTAAGTTAAAAGGTTGATATATATATATATATATATATATATACACACACACACACACACACACACACACACACATATATATATATATATTATATATATATATATATATTTGGTCAAGTGCCATAGAGGGCAGGCTTAAATTTAACACACATATCACATCATTTATTCTCGAGACTCGGGATCACCACTCAAGAAGCAGAATAGAAAGAAACTGTTGGTTCAGAAAAATAGATTTCCTGTAAGGCTAAGTCTTTCTGCAAAGGTTCAGTAGCATTGGTACTCATATAGGGATGTTAGATTTTAGCACTTATCAATAGTCAACTTTGGGAAAATATTTTTTCCAAACTTTCTTTTGTGCATAAGGACTTGTGATTTCATTTTTCCTTAATTCCAACAACCAAAGGAATCTTCAAAGAATCTTTGTGAAAAAGTGATTTCAGTCCTACCCATTTTTCAAGTGTAGTAATATATGACACATTGATGTATTGGCAGATTCAAATTTCATGCACTCTTGGTAGCTGGCTGTTTTTTATGCTGGCACTGTTTCTTTTTAAGTACTAATTAAATTCTTTTCATTATGCCACAGAGAGTCAGTGAGTAAGGAAATATATACTCTTGGCTTAGGTAGCAGCGGTTGTTAACCTTGAAGAACCGTAAATAGAGGAGGAGGGGTTGAAGTAGCACTGCTGATGGGGAGGTTGCTGAACCAGTGTTGTGGTGTTAGAAGGAGTAGTTGTTAGGAACCTAGAGTTTAGTATCCTGTGGGTATGGATGTAGGGACCAATTAGGTTGGTAACGCAGGAATTGGTATTGGTATAGTGGATGAGCTATCCAGTTATGAAAAACTGCCATATAATTGTAGTTCATTCAGCAACATTTGGTCTCTAAATGCCAATAGAATTCCCCCAGTGATAATTAAAAGATAAAACAAAGTGGGGGGGGGGAAACCTTCACACATGTATTTCTTCTTCTTTTTTTTTTTTTTTAAAGATTTTATTATTTATACAAGCACTGGGTACAGCTAGAAGCAGAGGAGGGTGAGAGAATTCACCAGAGCCAGAGCGGGGAACAGAACAGGCAGAGTGACGAAATACACTGCTGAGGGGAGCAGCGGGTGCGGTAGGAGAGGTCTGTCATGCATGTGGGACCCTAGCTGGCGGCCAGGTATCAAACCGGCGCTACAGAGGCTGTGGGCAGCTGGGCAGCTTCGCAGCCCAGCACTCAACTGCTGTGCCACCAGGGGAGGCCCCATGCATGTATTTCCATGTACCCTCTTTGTAGGTGATACCAATTCCTTTTTTTTTTTTTTTTTTTTAAGTTTTATCCATTTATGCATACAAGAGCTGGGATACAGGCCAGAGGTGTTGGGGAGGGTTGAGAGGATTCACCAGAGACAGAGTGGGGACCGGAAACAGGCAGACTGAGTGAAATACACTGTTGAGGGGAGCAGTGGGCGAGTCAGGAGAGGCCTGCCGTTCCATGTGGGTAGCTCCCTGGCTTGCTGGGTATTGAACTTGTGCTGCAGAGGCTACGGATTGCTTCACAGTGCTGTGTTTAACACCTTGCGTCAGCATGGAGGCCAGATACCAATTCCTTTTTGAGAATGTGACTGAAGTCTGTACATGACAGAATCTTCCCAGCTCTAAAAGTCAGACAGAGATCTAAAACTTGAGAGATACATGGAGAAGGAGATGCTCATAATATAAACAGGACGTAGAGACTTGCATAATGAAACCAATATGGTAAAAAATAAACATTGAGTCATATACAGAGAATATATTTTAAAAGGGAAAGCTGCTTTTTCCTGTGATATTTTTGGTTTGTGTGTTTAAGACTTAAAGTTGAATTGAAGGCACAAAAGGCCTTTTCATATATGACTATTTGCTTTGGACAGAAAGAATTAAATTAAGGGTTAGAACTAGTTTTGAATAATTAGAATTGGTGAACAGATTTCTCATTTCTCCTTATTGCATTGATCATCATTTGGTACCTTTCTGATCACATATCCTTTCATGTCTTGCTCTCATTTTTATGTAAAATAATTTGATGTGGAATTTTCCTTTGATTGTTACTTCTGAAGACCAATAGCAAATATATAATTTTTGTGGCTGCCTGGTGATAATTCATTCTGTAAATATTGCAAGGAAAAAAATTAAATATATAGGTAAACTATTTGAAAGTAATTACTTACGAAAAGAGAACACCATAGTCTAAGTTAGTAATCTGCATTTTTTTTCTTCTGTATAAAATGAAGTTATCTGAATTGAAATGAAAACAAGATTTGGATAGTAAACATTTTCAGTTTAGTAGAACCAAGTAATTGTTATAGCATGTATTTCTTGGAATTATTTTTTTTTTTTGCTATGTGGTCTTTATGTGTGGCCAGCTGGGATTCTGTCTCTGAAGTTAGGGGTACCATGCTCCAATAAGAATTATATTAGCCATATCTTCTTCCCGGTACCAATTGTTTTTGCTTTTGCAGGTGTTTTCTTAGATTAATAGGGATATTCTATTCTTTTTTTGCATTAGCTTTAGATTTGAATAAACTTCTTCAAAGGCAAAAGAATTCCTAAATAATTTCATATGAAAAACAAACATGGGTCTCCTTGGTGGTCCAGGGGTTAAGTCTCAGTGTTATCACCATGATGGTCTAAGTTCGATCACCGTCCAGGGAGCTTACCCACATATGGTGCAGCAGACCTCGCCTGTCTCTTCCCCTGTTCTGCTCCCCACTCTGTCTCTGGTGAATTCTCTCACCCCTGTACCTCTGGCCTACACCCCAGCTCTTCTATGCAAAAATAAATAAAAATTTAAAAAAAATACATAAAAAACATCCTTGTCTTTAAAAATATGTCCTAAAAAATTTCATATGACAACATCCTTGGCTTTAAAAATATGTCAACTAATTTTATTCTTGATGCTTAAATTCCACAGGTAATTAGAACTGTAATAATTGAATATATTCTCTCAGAATTAAAACAAGTCACTTGGTATAATGTAGATTCTGGCTTGTATTACTAATTTCATCTCTTTGGTCCTTTAAATTTGTGTAGTTGTGGTTTAAAGTTACTTATGTTCCTAACTTTATTTTTGACTTTTGGATTTCATAAGAGAGGTCAAATGCTGGTTATATACTGAGACTTGAGTAGCCTTTGCATGATAGGAAGGACTAGGAAATTTGTATTTAAAAGTGTTAATAGAACAAAACCATTTTATAGTGTATTGATATATGTTTCTGTTAACATAGTATTCCCAAAAACTGAATAAAATTCAAAGCAACTGAATGTAGTGAAAACAAATGATAAGTTTCATAA